CTTGAGGAAGAAAGCTAAGGATTACTTCACTAAACTTTATACAGAAGAGGAGGAGAAGAGACCAAGACTGGATGAGCTTCCTTTTAGGCAACTATCGAATGGCAGCAAGGAGAGCCTGGAGGTGTCGATTACGGAGGAGGAAATTCTGAACTGTTTGGGGCAATGCAATGGCAACAAAGCCCCGGGACCGGATAGATTCCATATGAAGTTTTTCCAAAATTTTTGAGCTGTCATTAAATATGATATCATGGTTGTATTTCATGACTTTCACATAACTGGAGTTTTTGTCCAATCTATTAACACAACTTTCTTAGTTATTATCCCAAAAATTATTGGAGCATGTAACATAAAAGATTTCAAACCGATTAGTCTGGTAGGTAGTATGTATAAAATGATCTCTAAAGTTATGCCTAGAAGAATGTCCAAGGTATTGGGCGAAATTATTGGGGAGAACCATAATGCATTTGTGGAAAGAAGGCAAATCCTTGATGCTGTTATGGTGGCTAATGAGGTAGTTAATGATATGATGATGCAAAAAAAAGAAGGTATCATTTGTAAAATTGATATGGAGAAAGCTTATGATCATGTTTGCTGAGATTTTGTTATTTATATGCTTAAGAGGATGGGTTTCGATTGTAAATGAAGGAAATGGATAAAGAGTTGTATCTCAATGACTTCTTTTGCTGTGATGGTGAACGATGGTCATTCGTCTTTCTTCAGGGCGTCAAGGGGTCTTTGCCAAGGGGATCCACTGTCACCCCTTTTTTTTTACTGTTATGGAAGCTTTTAGTAAGTTGATGGAGAGGACTGGTGAGCTTGATCTGGTGAGAGGCATTTTGGTAGGGGTTGGCGATTCAAGGGTGAAGATCTCACATTTATTTTTTGCCGACGATGCACTCATCTTTTGTAAACTAGATTTATCCTTTTTGTTTCATTTGAGATGTATTTTAATTTGTTTGCAAATGATGTCCGAGTTGAGAATCACTATGAGAAAGACAGAAATGGTTAAGATTGGGGATAGAAGGGATGAGTTGGAGATGGCTAGGATGTTGGGCTGTAAAATCACTTTGCTACCTATCAAATATCTTGGGATTCCTCTTGGGGCGAAATTTAAAGATGTTGGAACTTGGTACCTAATTGTGGAGTTGGTTGAGAGGAGGCTTGCGGTATGGAAGAGAAGTTTTTTGACTAAAAAGGGGAGGCTTACCTTAATCAAGAGTACATTAGCTAACCTCCCAATCTACTATCTTTCTATATTAACTATTCCGGTTAGCATTGCTTCAAAACTTGAAAGGATCCAATGTAGATTCCTTTGAGGTGATGATGATGGTTATAGAAGATATCATTTGATAAGTTGAGAGGAGGTGAAGAAATCTATGGATGGGGGCGAGCTAGGGCTTAGATCCATTGCGGATTTGAATGTTGCACTTCTTGGGAAATGGCTAAGGAGATATTGTAATGAGGATAACAAACTTTGAAA